GATGTTGTTGATCGTGATGGAGAGGGGGGGGGGCGCGGGCTGGGGGGAAAATTAGGAGCTTGGTTTTTGAGGAAGTTCAGTTTGAGGAAGTGGAGCGACATCCAGTCTGATATGTCCTTCAGCAGGTGGGTGATACGGGCAGAGACTGAAGGGGTGAGTTGAGGGGTGGAGAGGTAAATTTGCATGTCATCGGCATAGAGGTGATAGTTGAAGCCGTGGGAGTGTATCAGTTTGCCAAGGGAGGAGGTGTAGATGGAGAAGAGAAGGGGCCCGAGGACAGAGCCTTGGGGGACCCCAACAGAGAAGGGGAGAGAGGGTGAGGTGGTAGCGTTATAGGTAACGCTGAAGGAGCGTTGGGAGAGATAGGAGGAGAGCCAGGAGAGAGCGGAGTCTCTGATGCCGAGGGAGTGTAGTTTATCGAGGAGGAGGGGGGTGGTCAACTGTGTTGAAGGCCGCAGAGAGGTCGAGAAGAAAGAGGACTGAGTAATGGCCATTAGCTTTGGCGGTTAGAAGGTCATTAGTGATTTTGAGTAAGGCGGTTTCGGTGGAGTGTAGGGGACGGAAGCCAGACTGTAGTGGATCGAGGAGGTTGTTGTCAATGAGGTGGGAGCTTAGGCGATTGTAGATTAAGCGCTCAAGGAGCTTGGAGGTGAATGGCAGCAGGGAGATGGGTCTAAGGTTGTTCAGGTCAGTGGGGTCCAAGGAGGGTTTTTTTTGAGTATGGGGGTGATGTGCGCGTGCTTTAGAGGGGAGGGGAATGCGCCAGTAGAGAGGGAGAGATTGAAGATGTGGGTGAGGGAGCGTAGGATGGAGGGGGAGAGTACCTGGAGGAGTTGTGTGGGGATAGGGTCAAGGGGGCAAGTGGTGAGGTGGGCTTCTGAGAAGACCTTGGTGACCTCCTCAGTGGTGGCAAGGCTGAAGGAGTGGAGTGTTGGGGGGGTTATGATGTGCGGGATGTTAAGGGTGGTGGGGGGCAGGGCGGTTGCGAGGTCAGAGGAGGGGAGCGTTGGAGGGGTTGTAGTAGGAGGGAGGCTAGGCGGGGAGTTAGGTGGAGCATTGGCAATGTTCTTACAGATTGCGTCGATCTTATTTTGGAAGTGAATGGCAATCCCGTGGGCGGTGAGTGAGGTACTGGGTGGGGTGGGGGGGGAGAGAGTAGGGAGTTGAAGTGGAGAAGAGCCGACGAGGATTGGAGGAGAGGGTGTTGATGAGGGTTACGAAGTAGGTTTGTTTGGCGGCGTGGAGGGAGGAGGTGTAGGTGAGGAAGGCGGATTTGTAGAGGGACAATGCTTGAGGGGATTTGGTTTTGCGGCAGAATCGTTCCAGCGCGCGACTGCGTCGTTTAAGATGTTTAGTGTGGTCGTTTTGCCAGGGTTGAAGCGGTCGGGGTCTAATGCTACGTGTGGTTAGGGGTGCTAAGGAGTCTAGGGCAGCTGATAGCGTGTCGTTATACGCAGCAGTGGCCAGGTCAGGGCATGACAGTGGAAGGATACTGTCGTACAGACAGTCAGCTGCAGAGTGGAGAGGGGCCTGGTTTAGGTTGCGGAGATTATGGCTGGTGAAGGTTTGACGTTTAGGGGGGGAGGTGTTGGAGGACGGGGAGATGGAGAAGGTAATGAGGTTGTGGTCAGAGAGAGGGAAAGGGGTGTTAGTGAGGTTGTGGGGGGTGCAGAGTTGGGAGAAAACGAGGTCCAGGGTGTTCCCGTCGGTGTAGGTGGAGGACTGCGTGCACTGTGTGAGTGCAAACAAAGAGGTTAAGTGGAGGAGTTTGGATGTAGCCGGGTTGTTGACATTGAGAGGGATATTGAAGTCAACAAGAATGATGGTGGGGAGCTCAGAGGAGAGGAAGAAGGGCAGCCAGGCGGAAAAGTCATCAAAGAAGCGGGATACGGGTTCAGGGGGCCAATAGATTACTGCAATCCTCACAGGGGTGGGGGAGAAGAGTCAGATGCAGTGGGCCTCGAAGGAGCAGAAGGATAGAGAGGGGGGGTTTGGGAGGACCTGGAAGTTGCTCAGCGGTGACAAGAGCATGCCAACCCCAACACCTCTACGACCGCTCGGTCTGGGTGAATGGGACCAGACGAGACCTCCATAGGAGAGTGCCGCAGGGGAGGAGGAGTCAGTGGCTTGGATCCAGGTTTCCTCAACCCCTAGGAGGTTGAGGGAGTGGGAAATATAGAGGTCATGGATGGCGGTGAGCTTGTTGCACACCGATCAGGCGTTCAGGAGTGCAACCGAGAGTGGAGGGGTGGATGCGGGGAGGAGGGAGACAGGTATAAGGTTGAGGGGGTTGTGGTGGTTTGTGTAAGTAGGAGGGTGCCTAGTGGGTGAGTGAGGTGGTGAGGGGCCAGGGTTCGGGAAGATGTCCCTGGTGTTTAGGAGAAGAAGGAGGGTGAGAAAGGTGACACGGGAGCGGGATGTGCAAGAGCGTGTGGGTCTGTTAGGGGTGGCGTGTGGGTCGGTTGGAGAGTGGAGTATCAGGAGGAGGTGGTGAGAACCGTAGTGTCCCCACTACGGGGAAGTGGGGAAGAGGGAAGTAGTGAGGGTCCGATGTAAAGTTGTTTTGGGGGGGTAGGGAGGTAGAGGGAGGAGATTTTGTGAATGGAGTAGAGGAGTACGAGGAGGAGGAGTACAGGTGGCATATTAAGAGGGTGAGCGAAGTGCTGGTCAAATGAGGGAGGTGAAAAGTTTCACATTAGGGCATATAAATGCACAGAGTCTATCGCGCAGTGGCGGAGGAGTTCAACAGTAAGAGGGAAGGGAAAGTGGTGGGCAGCTGGGCCTGCTGCTAGCTAGTCACGGCAGTCTGTGGGTGCTGTAGGCCAGCGTCTGGAGGTGCTGTAGGGCGCGGCGTCTGGAGGTGCTGTAGGGCGCGGCGTCTGGAGGTGTTGTAGGATGCGGCGTCTGGAGGTGCTGTGGGGCGCGGCGTCTGGAGGTGCTGTGGGGCGCGGCGTCTGGAGGTGTTGTGGAGCCCGGCATCTGGAGGTGCTGCAAGGCCTGGCGTCTGGAGCTGCTGTAGGACCCGGTGTCTGTGGGAGCGGTAGGGTCAGGCGCCTGTGGGTGTTGTAGGGTCCGGCGTCTGTGGGTGCTGTAAGCCGCGTGGCGGGGCGCGCGGTGGCGGGGAACAGGGGGCGGCTGTGTGGCACACGGTGAGGAGCGGGGGAGCCGTTCTGGTGGTGGCGGCTTACCCGTTCTGGTGGTGGTGGCCGTGTGGGTAGTGGTGCTGTAGTGTGGGCCGCGGCTGCTGAGGTGGCGGTGCTGCTGCTGCCGTGCGGGTTTCCCGGGGTGGTCCTTGGAGCCTTGGACAGCATGGCTGTCTGCTTGCTGTGGTCCCTGGGGTGCTGTTAGGCTGCTGCCTGCCTGCTGTGGCCCCCGGAGACAGTGGAGAGGGCCAGGGGCCGTCAAGGTAGGACACCTTAGAGCGTATCAGAGGGCAGGGGCCGAGGGAATGAGCAGCGGCGCGATTCGACCCGCGATTTACGCGAGGCCGCGGCTTCAGTATGCCGCGATTCCGGAGGGGGCCCAGATTGGTCCGTACCCCTCCCTAATGTGTTCATTAGGGGCCGGAGGTGCTCTGGGGCCCCTGTAGTGTCCGCTGCCGCCCGGATGGCCTTAAAGTGTTACTAAACCCATAACCCAGCATTCACTATATCTGGTCTCCCACAGCACACACAACACGGAAGTGGAACATTTTAGTAAGTATAAACTGCTAAATACCTTTTCTCATCAGCAGTTAGAGCAGCGTTGTGACTTCTATCAGTGTCCAACCGAGCACTTGTTAAAACTTGTAGGAAATGGTTTCATTTTGCTCTAGGAGGATGCAGAACCCCTAACCTCTATCTGACCAGTGCTGATTGGCCCTTTCCTGATCAAATGCACTCTCTCAAGAAATAAAAAAACTCTAGTAATACACACCAAATTGAGCATGTGCAGAGTGTCTCCACACGATATGTCTTATCAGGATATAAGAGGGGGACACTGCAAGAAGGGGATGATCAGGGAAGTCAAAAACAGCGTTTTTTATATGCAGAGGATTAACCCATTAGGTTCCACGGTGAGTATAACAAGCATGCTTTACTGCATATACAGACTGGTTTTACTGTTGTGGGTTTAGTAAAACTTTCATTACAGGAGGCTCCTGAACAGAAAGTTTTACACTGGACTAATGTACAGATCTGGAAGAAATACACAAAGCACACCAATATTCAAAGCAGAATACAGGAGTCTTGTATTTAGACAATATTTGCACATCATGGAGTTCAGCTTCAACAGAGGGTCCCCACTTCCCATAGCCTACTATCAAAGAAAGAGACACCAGTCCTGATGTTACTTGAAGTACTTTGTGGGCTACTATTACAATGTTCATATCATGTCATGCAAAAACGTCTACATCACACTAACAGTTAAGAAAGCATGTCTGCAAACATACATTAAGCAGAAAACTCACTCTAGGACAGTTAAAGTGATTCTAAAGGTTCCTTTTTTTTTTTTTTTAAACAACAAAGATGTTATACTTACCTGCTCTGTGCAATCGTTTTGCACAGAGCAGCCTTGATCCTCCTCTTCTGGGGTCCCCTGCCAGCACTCTCGGCTGTTCCTCTTCTCTGCATGCCACCATAGCAAGCAACTTATGGTGGCACATGTGCGGCCTCGATCCCAAGCTGCGCTGCGTGTATCATTTAACAAACAAAGCGCGGCTTAGCCCCACTCTCTCATTACTGGATTTAACTGACAGCAGCAGAAACCAATGCCTCCTGTTGCTCTCACTGAGTCCAGTGGAGTGAGAGAGATTGAGAGCATCACTGCTGCTCTCAGGCACAGCACTGGATCGAAATCGGGCTTAAAGCCGAGTTCCAGCTGAAAAGAAAAAAAAAATAAAAGTCAGCAGCTACAAAAACTGTAGCTGCTGACTTTTAAAATACAAACACTTACCTGTCCCTCGGTGCAGCGGTGTCCTCACCACCGCTGGTTTCACCGGCTATCTTCTCTCCCTGGCGCCGGCATCTTTAGTGTAGGCACCCGGCTGTGACAGCTTGCGGCTTCACAGCCGGGTGCCCAATGTGCATGTGCGAGAAGCGCTGCGCACTTTGTGAATGGCCCCGTAGTCTTCTGGGACCTGTCACGTGTCCCAGAGGACTACAAGGAGGGAGGGGATGAGGGCAACTTCCGCTTCCGATTGCCTAGGTCAGGGGTGGGCAACTGTGGCTCTCCAGCTGTTGGTGAACTACAAGTCCCATCATGCCTCTGCCTTTGGGAGTCATGCTTGTAACTGTCAGTTTTGCAATGCTTCATGGGACTTGTAGTTCTACAACAGCTGGAGGGCCACAGTTGCCCATCCCTGGCCTAGGTGATTGCAACGGAAGTGGGAGCGGGTACCTGTCAAATTTGGGTACCCGTTCCCCCAAGGTGCCAATCCTTAATGGGGAGCGGGGGACAAAGCATTAAAGCGGAACTTCCCCTTTTGGGTGGAACTCTGCTTTAAGTAAGTATTTAGTGAAGGCTGGGGGCCTCTTGGAGAGAGGTGCTGCACATAAAAGTTTTTTTACATTAATGCATAGAATGCATTAAAGTGAAATTTTATATAAGAAATAAAAATGGGTGAACAGACAGGATTTTAATGCAGAAGAGACATGCTTTGTCTGTTCTGCATTAAAGTTACCCACCTGCCTGTCCGCCCCTGTGCACAGGCAGCTCACTGTAGAAATTTGGCAATGCCAAAGCCCACGCATGCACAGGAGTGATGTCAAATTGGCCCAGCCATTGAGACCCAGAAGCCAGCCACTCTAAAGATCTCAGAGGCCAAGGGGGAGCTCCAGGATGTCGTATCGCTGGACTGAAGGTGAGTATAGTTCTGCTTTAAAGTAAAAAACCTGAAGCCTTTGCAATCACTTTAATTAGTAAGGGCCTTCCTAGGATACAATCCACTTCAGAAATGCTATGGTCCCTCTGAACAAAAAAAACTTGTGTAGCAAGTTTATTCTTTGTAAAGTCAGTTATAAAGACTAACTGAGATCTCTAAACACATGGTCAGGAAGGATTCTGATCATTTATAACAAAAAAATTCTTAAAAACAGATGGACATTTGTTAGCTATTACTCTTTCCTTTCATCAGAGGCACGCCATTTGCTTTTTCTATATGTGGGTAGGAATATTATGCAACACATAGCTGACTTGATTTTCCATGTGATTCTGTAAAGGTCCGATAAATGAAACGTGACGATTTCCAATCATTTTGTTTTTCTTTATTTTTTGCTAATCAATGCCATAAATCAAGGGATAAGTTTATAGTTAAAATTATTTCAGTGTAGCAAAGGTATTTTTGTGATTAATTCGATTTCTGGTTGATATAAAACAGGTTACATATGAAAGCCGCAGCAGTGCCAGGCATCAGAACTTTTTTACAGTATTATTTTATTATTATTATTATACAGTGTTTTATATAGCGCAAAAAGGTTTGCTCAGCGCTGTACAATATAGTGGGGGACAGAACATGAGACAATACAGTAACAAAACAATACACGAGTGGTTCGAGGGCCCTGCTATTTTCGAGCTTACAATCTAGGAGGGGATAGTGGTACAGGTGGAAGTGGCTGTGGGGGATGGAGGGGTAGGAGGAGTGGAGGAGATCAGCTGTTAGGTGAGGGTGGGGTAGGCTTCCCTGAAGAGATGGGTTTTCAGGGTGCTCCTAAAGGTGAGGAGGATAGGTGACAGTCTGATGGATTGGGGTAGTGAGTTCCAGAGGATGGGGGAAGTCCTGGAGAAGTCCTGCAGTCGGGCGTGGGAGGAGGAGACCAGGGAGCTAGAAAGTAGGAGGTCTTGCGAGGAGCGAAGAGTACAGGTTGGGTGGTATTTGGGTATCAGGTCAGTGAGGTAGTTTGGGGCAGCGTTATGAATGGCTTTGTACGTCAATGTTAGTAATTTGAATTTAATGCGTTGGGCAAACGGAAGCAAGTGGAGGGATTGGCAGAGGGGGGTAGCACATGCGGAGCAGTTGGTAAGGGGATGAGTCTGGCCGCTTAGTTCAGGATAGACTGAAGCGGGCATAGCCTGTGTTGGGGTAGGCCGGTGAGGAGGGAGTTGCAGTAGTTGAGTCGTGAGATAATAAGGGAGTGAATGAGTTGTTTAGTAGTGTCTGGGGTTAGGAACGAACGTATTTTGGAGATGTTGCTTAGGTGGAGCCTGCATGAGTTAGCCAGCGATTGGACATGGAGCTGGACGGACAGATTTGAGTCTAGAGTGACACAGTATAGGCTCATTTATGTGCAGTATGTCCTTATGGATGTCATTATAACTCATTGACTTCAAAGTAACATCTTTATTTTTTTATTTTTTACTGTAGATATTTAAAACGAAATCCATGGGATACAAATAAAAGTGTTCCCAATGAATAAAAGTTCCCATATAATCCAGTTACAAGATTTGACGTTTTTGGCATCTAACACGGACCGCAAAACAAGTGGATTGAGATTAGAATGCAGCCCATGTTTATGGAACACATATTTTATTAAAGCCCAGTGGAGTAATAAAGTTTATGTACTGGCACCATAGCTGGGCAAGACGTTACAAACACCAAACACAGGATACATACAGGGTGCAGAGAACTCTGTCATTATATTAAACAATCTAAGTGGGTGTACTCCTAGACATCACCAGATGATCAACTTCTGGATATCGGGTGAAATGGAGAAAGTTCAAAGAAGGGCAACCAAATTAATAAGAGGCATGGAGGAGCTCAGCTATGAGGAATGATTAGAGGAACTGAATTTATTTTCTCTTGAGAAGAGGAGATTAAGGGGGGGATATGATCAAAATGTATAGATACAAAAGTGAACCATATAGTGAACTCGGTGTAGAGTTATTCACTTTAAGGTCATCATCTGGAGGAAAGGAACTTTAATCTCTAAAAATGGAAAGGCTTCTTCGCAGAAAGAGCATAGACTGACTCAAGAGCTGGTTCTGGCTAGCTCAGTAGATTGTTAAAAAAAAACAACTGAATTCTGTACTAAATGCAAATACTATATAAATGATACCAATATTTACAGCTAAAATTGATCCAGGGACTATCAGATTGCCTCTTGGGGGGTCAGGAAAGAAATATTTTTTCCCCACTGGAGCAAATTAGATCATGCTTTATTGGGGGTTTTTTTGCCTTCTGCTGGATCAACTGTGGGACTATTGGAGGCTTTCTATTTCTGTGTTTTTTTTGTTGGTTGAACTGGATGGACCAGATTAACTATGTAACTATGGATGTGAGAAATCAGAGCTACACAGACCATTGGGGTTTGGATTGTTTTCCAATTTTTTCAAACCATCCAGCACAAGTCTCAGCAGCCTACATAACCTCCCCCCATCCCAACCAAAAACCTTCTCAGATATTGTTATATCTGTATGATGGTCTTTCTTGGAGCAAAGTCACATGGAACTCTTTAAAGAAGTCTAACTTAAATTTTCATTAATATGTTATGTTCCCCAGGAGACAATGTACATGTAGTACTTTTTTACCCGCCTTCCTAAATGCTATCTAAGGATAGCTGTGAGGAGGGACAGGGCACCACCTCTTCCCCACAATTGTCCGACAACACAGCTAGCAAGGAGATGGCTGCTTTGCTGTCTCTAAACACTTGCCTGAGACAAGCTCCTCACTAGGGGGGGGGGTCTACCAGTTAAAGCAGAACCTAGCGAAGGGGGGGGGGGGGGGGGGTCTACCAGTTAAAGCAGAATTTCACAAACTAAGTCATCATTGACTATTTGTAATCCTTATGCTGCTAGCATCAAGCATCAGCAAATAGATTGGAAGCTATATCATATCATAACTATATCATATCTAGAACATATTTACTTGTTTTAAAGTTTTTTTATTACATTTTTTCAGTTACTTCCTGGTTTCCATGCCTAGGCAAATGATGTCATACATCCCAGAAGCTAAATACACCCTCCTGCCTGCATGTCTGAGCTAAGGGATTATGGATCCCAGGAAGTAAATGTTACATGAATCAGCTACCCTTACTCAAGATGGCCATTGCCAGGGGTAATTTTTAGTCCTGAAACAACTAATCAACATAATATATAATTGATTAGAAAAATAGTTGTCAATTATTTTCATAATCGATTAGTTGGTCAACCAATTAGTTGGCCTGCATACAGAATACATAATTTGTTTACATATCAGAAAATACAGTGCAGCACACATACAGCTCAGTACACCATCCATACATGTCAGTAAGTGGCTGCGAGCTTGTGTGAGTAGCAATGCCTCATGGGACATGAAGTCCTGGGCAGGAGAAGGAGGTGATTTATATTGATTCTAAAGGCAGATTTTTTTTTTTTACCTTGCTGTAGGGGCACACTATTCTACAAACCCATTACACAGAGCTTGGATGCAGCTGCCAGCCACGGAAACCCATTCCATGAAGCTCTCTACGCACGTCTTTTGTTCTAATCTGAAGGCCACATGAAGTTTGGAGGTCTTTAGCTATTGACTCTGCAGACAGTTGGCGACTTCTACATACTGTGCGCTTCAGCATGCACTGACCCCGCTCTGTCATTTTACGTGGCCTACCACTTCGTGGCTGAATTGCTGTTGTTCCCAGTTGCTTCCACTTTGTTATAATACCACTAACAGTTGACCGTGGAATTATTATTACATCGAGTTTATATAGCGCCAAAGGGTTTGCTCAGCGCTGTACAACAGAGGGGGGGGACAATACATGAAACAGTATAGCAACAACAAACAGCACATGAGGGGTTAAAGGGCCCTACTCTTTTGAACTTACAATCTAGGAGGGAGGGGGTAGTGGTACAGGAGGAAGTGGCTGTGGGGGATGGAGTTGTAGGAGGAATGAAGGAGATCAGCTGTTAGGTGAGGGTGGGGTAGGCTTCCCTGACGAGATGGGTTTTCAGGGTGCGCCTAAAGGTGAGGAGGATAGGTGACAGTCTATTGGATTGTATTCATTTTTACAACATGGTCTTGAATGAATTTGTTAGGAAAAAAACGTTTTTGTGTGTGCAAAATAAATCTTGTTTGCAATCAATGGCCCACATTTGTGGGATTGTTTTGTAGTATAGTGTCCCAAAGAAAATGTTGATTCTGAAAGGAAAGTAAAGGTTTTCTGACAAATCTGTTGGGGTGTACTCATTTATGCTGAGCATTATATATTTATCTATATATATACCGTATATTTCACTCCATAAGACGCACCTCACAATAAGACACAGTTAAGTTTTAGAGGAGGAAAACAAGAAAAAAAAATATTCTGAACCAATGGACTGCAGACATAGTACAGGAAATGACCAGAGACTGCAGACATAGTACAGGAGATGACCAGAGACTGCGGACATAGTACAGGAGATGACCAGAGACTGCGGACATAGTACAGGAGATGACCAGAGACTGTGGACAGTACAGGAGATGACCAGAGACTGCAGACATAGTACTGGAGATGACTAGAGACTGCGGACATACTACAGGAGATGACCAGAGACTGCTGACATAGTACTGGAGATGACCAGAGACTGCGGACATAGTACAGGAGATGACCAAAGACTGTGGACATAGTACTGGAGATGACCAGAGACTGCTGACCTAGTACTGGAGATGACTAGAGACTGCAGACATAGTACAGGAGATGACCAGAGACTGCGGACATAGTACTAGAGATGACCAGAGACTGCGGACCAGTATTAGAGATGACCAGAGACTGCGGACATAGTATTAGAGATGACCAGAGACTGCGGACATAGTATTAGAGATGACCAGAGACTGCGGACATAGTACTGGAGATGACCAGAGACTGCGGACATAGTACAGGAGATGACCAGAGACTGCGGACATAGTACAGGAGATGACCAGAGACTGCGGACATAGTACAGGAGATGACCAGAGACTGCGGACATAGTACAGGAGATGACTAGAGACTGCGGACATAGTACAGGAGATGACCAGAGACTGCGGACATAGTACAGGAGATGACCAGAGACTGCGGACATAGTACTGGAGATGACCAGAGACTGCGGACATAGTACTGGAGATGACCAGAGACTGCGGACATAGTACAGGAGATGACTAGAGACTGCGGACATAGTACAGGAGATGACCAGAGACTGCGGACATAGTACAGGAGATGACCAGAGACTGCGGACATAGTACAGGAGATGACCAGAGACTGCGGACATAGTACAGGAGATGACCAGAGACTGCGGACATAGTACAGGAGATGACCAGAGACTGCGGACATAGTACAGGAGATGACTAGAGAGATTGCAAACATATTACAGGAGATGAGCGGTACCCAAATTTGACAGGTACTCGCTCCCACTTTTGCAAAGTTGTCCTCCCCTCCCCATCTTCTGGGACACGTGACAGGTCCCAGAAGACTGCCAGACCATTCACAAAGCAGAGCGCTTCTCGCGCATGCGCAGTGGGTACCCAGCTATGAAACCACAAGCTGTCACAGCCGGGTGCCCACACTAAAAATGCCAGCACCAGGCAGAGAAGACAGTGAGCACACTTCTGGACCGAGGAACAGGTAGGACCGAGGAGCAGGTTCTGCTGCACAGAAGAGCCAAGCGGCAGGCCCAGTATTCTAACACGGCAGCAGCGGGAATACCAGGCCGGCCGCTTCATATGACGCACAGACATTTTCCCCCATTTTTTGGGGGGAAAAATTGCGTCTTATGGAGCAAAAAATACAATGTATATATATAGATATATATATATATATATACACACACACACACACAAACAGAGGTACAATGGGTCATTCTGAAAATTTTATGGTATTCCTTATATCTGCAAACACCAACTTCGTAAATTTAAATGCACAAATTAATGAAGTTCTGTAATAATACATCATTTAGGGTCGTTTCACACCACAATTTCTGCATTTCGGATGAATTTCTGCATGTATGTTTGTGATGCGTTCCAATGCATTTTTATGCATGACATGTGCATTCCAGTGCGTTTTTGTTGTGTTTTGCTGCATTCCAGATGCATTCCATATAGAAAAAAATGCAGCATGTTCCTCTTTTGCTGACTGCACTGGCATGCACTGCACTGCTGTGAACTAGGACCATTGAATATATGGAAAACACTGTGCATAAGCTTTTGATGCAGATAAAAAAACACATTGGACTGCATCTGGTGTAAACCAGACCTAAATTATTTTTTAATGAAATCAGTGAATTTAACTTGATATCTGCCTCTTGCTGTCTATTGTTCGGCAGAGCTCAGTGAGGGGCAAGGAGAAGTAGAACAAGAAGCCAATCAGGGGTGCTGTAGTGCAAAGAGCCCACTGACAGAGGGTGAGAGCAGAGTGACAAACAGATGAGCTTTTCAGTGAGCTGCTTTACATTTTCAGTCACAAGCTGGCAGTGGCAAGAAGACCAGTAAGTGAAAGTGAAACTGCAGCATTGAAAGTTTAGATTCCCACCCTTGCCAGGCAGGAATGGATAAATCAGGAATGGAAAAACAGAAATACAAATAGTTTGGCAGGTAAAACAGTTCTAATTTGTGTATTTCCTCTGAGTATTTAGCTTTTTACCTAAAGTTTGGCTTTACATTCACACATTTTTTACATAATAAAACAGCTATATATTTTTGACTCAAGTTCCCCAGCACAGCAATGGTTACATTTGTAGTACTTTAATAATGCTCTGGCAATTAAGGGATTAGCTCTTTAGAAAAACTATTTTGTTGTAAGCAGCAGTAACCATTAACAAAACAAAATGTAATTCTCCGCCAGGCTCTAAAATGCAATGTCACTTTCTATTTGTTTCCAGCACATGATGACAAAGCCAAAGTTACTAATTTACCTGATGGAATGGAAAGTTTTGCACATTTTCCTCCCCCTAAAACCACTGCATGTGTTTCATTTTAAGAAGTCTCGTTTGTTCCCAGTAAAGGTGACTTTGCAGTCAATAAAGAGTTTTTCAGTGTTGTTATTGGCTTCTGTGGGAAGAACAGCTGCCAGCATGCGGGAGAGCCAGAGGAAACAGCCAAGAGCATGTAAAATGAAAGCCATGTAATTAAGATCTTGCAGAAAACATGACTGGTATTAATTAGTTCAAAGCAGCCTGGCATCATTAATGTCCCGTAGAGTTTGTGCCAATCAACTTGTCAAGCAGATGATGAGCTGTGTTTAGAGGGACTAAACTAAGAAGCAGAAAGGAAGCTTAATTACAGTCATATGTTTCTTTATCTTGCTGGACCATGTGCATAGTTGGTATTATTGATACAAATACAAACACAATAAAAAAAACAAAAAAGAAAACAGAAAACTGTATCAAATAATTACTGTAATTTTCCTTTCCTATCCATGGCAGAATACTGCCACATGCAGGCTGCCATATTGGCTCCAGGAATTATACATTCTGGGGGCTAATTGGAAAGGTTGGGGAATCTGTGTAAGTAACATTTTGGTGAAAGTTTGCTCTTTTACAGCTTCTAGTTCAAGGGAATTATGGGTTTCACCATACAGATTTATAATTAGGTTCCCAACTTGAACAGCATCCACCAATTCGTAGTGACACAGAACTTGTAGCCAAGAAGTCTGTAAAGCTTTGGTTGCAGTGTCTGGCTCTCAGTATGGGAATAAACAAGTAAACCATTCTTTGCACCCCTTTACTAGTGATCTGGTGGAACATATTGGTTCAGCTAGCAAAGGAAAATGTGTTCAGTGTGAAGCTGTGCAATCCGGGTTTACTTGAATTTTGGCCAAACTGATCTGCTCGGGTCGGGCTCAGATGACATTCTAAGGCCTCTTGCAGGCAGTTAAACCTGTTCAGCATTCATTGTGGCATCTTTTCCCTGTCAGGGAAGCCCAGGTTCAGTGTATGGGTTCAGTGTACAGGCTCCCATAGCATATATACCCGAGTACAGCAGCACACAGCCATTTCTATCTATGGTAGGCTGTACGTTGCACCTGGCCTTCCTACGTTTATGTTGAACGGACTCAACTACCTGGTACAAGAGCTCAATGTCTGTCACTCCTCTTCTACCTAAATGGAAGTCTCAGCTTCAATTTTAATGTAATCCTTCACAATAAGGTGAATGCATGGCAATCTCACCCTGTATGAGAAGGTGTTGGGGCTCCAGATTAGTCTTCCAAAGGGAGATCATCCCATGTATACAAATGTCCCACTCGTGTTTTAGATAATGCACAAACACAAATACCTGTTCCAGACAGCCTGAGCAAAACACTGCTTTCCTTTCCAGATTGTACCCCTCACCTTACTGGCTCCTTGTAACTTTAGATTAGGTGCTCATGGCTCTAAATACCAGTAATTTTATGCAGGCCTTAACATCCTGTGAAGTGTTACAACCACACTTTTTTTGTGTCAGAATATGCCGTTACGGAGTAATGGCACCTCCCAGCACTGATCCTTTCTATTGGTCACTTCGCAACTCCTTGAACATCTTGCTAGCTTTAGTATACCTAGTAATATAATAAACCCCAGCAGCTACCTGGAGATATCTCTCTTGATATCCAATGAGTTTATGATCAAAAAAGTGCAGTGCAGCACTATAAAAAGTATATAAAACATATTATTATTATTATTATACAGTATTTATATAGCGCCAACAGTTTGCTCAGCGCTGTACATTACAATAGGAGACAATACATGAGACAGTACAGTAACAATACAATAAAATACACGAGGGGGGTGGGGCGTGTCCAAGATGGCGACCGGAGCGGCCGCATAATCCGGAGCTCCGGCGCCGTATTCCGGAATCCGCTGCCATCCGTGCAGCAGCGGATCACAGTGCAGCAGCGGAGGGCCCTGGTATCATCCCGGATACCTGGGAGGTAGAATCCGGGCGATATTTTTCCGCCCTTCGTGACGGCGGACGTTCGCGCGGCCTGGTGCGGCCCGCGTGGGCCGGGGCTCCGGCACCTCCTATCCGCAGCCCGCTGCCATCCGGGCTGTGGGGGATCACCCGAGGACGTCTGCAGCGTCCTCTGCATCACAGAGGCTGAGAGAGGGACGTCGCTGAGTGTTGCTGCTCCCCGCGGCGGCGGCGACGTTTGCGGCCTACACCATCTGCCAGAGGCCTCTTTTTACCTGGTCACAGTGAGTGGGGGGTACAGGTGGCATCCTGTTATCATGATCTCCCCACAGTGATTTGGGGAGTGGGCCTCACATTAATAGCCCCAGAGCCCATCATCTTCTCTGTCTGTGGCCCTTGCTGGGCTCAGAGGCCTACTGGGGCCTTGATACTGCCCCAGGGGGTGTCTCCCTGCGGGGCCCTGTGCTCAGAATCGGAGGTCCTCTGCTTCCTGCTTCCCACCCATCCCTCTCGTGTCCTGAGTTGGGATCTGGTGCTATCATCCTGCCCCGGAGTGAAATTTTTGCTGGTTGCTGTGACTTATGTTCTATCTACCCTTTCAAGGCTTGCTGAATATTTTTTACAATATAATGTTATCGCAGATGGGTTTGACAGCATCCCATGTAACTACAACCCTGAACCTATTTTGGGCGCTATAGGTCCCCTGGGGTTATAGTCTCCATTCACTTTCCAATTTTCAGTTGATCACCCCCGGGAGATTCTTTGTATGCCGTCCACCAAGAAAAAAAAGGGACAAGCTCAGAAGTCCCTCACGACATACCTCCTTAAGGCTCACGAGATTTGCGGCATGTCTCCAGTCAATACAGAGCAAGCATCCCTGTCCGATCCCGCACGGGATACCACCGTTCCCTTATCGGCCTTGGTCAGCGAAAATACACAGCAACTCACAAAAGGGGACTTGGAGTCCTGCTTGGAATCTATGTACGCCAAACTAGCTGCCAAATTTCAATCAGAATTGCATAAAAGCACTAATGTTCTCTCTCAGGAAATAGCCACGCTGGGCTCTAGGACAGACCGCTTGGAAACCAAACACGATGAACTTAGCCTGGCCTATGGTGAACTTTCCAGAGAGCATGATCATTTACAAACGGCCTTTTTTCACAACTGCAGGCGCAGGTTGAGGATCTTGATAATCGCAATCGCAGGAATAATCTGCGAATCAGGGGAATCCCGGAGTCTATGTCGGATCTTTCATTAATTATAATCAAGTTATTCAAGTCACTCCTTCCAGATCGTGACCCTGGATCTTTTGCTTGTGACCGCATCCACAGAGCCCTACGCCCTAAACCTCCTGCTGACAAGCCGCCTAGGGATATTGTCTTGTGCATGAAGGATTTTCTGACCAAGGAAGAAATACTCAGAGCTGCTCGCAATACTCCAACGATCTCCTTTGAAGGCTCGGTTTTACAAATCTATCCTGATGTTGTTTCTCCGGCCACGTTGGAGAGGCGTAGAAAAATGAAAGAAGGTACAACTGCCCTGTTCTCTGCTCATATCCGCTACAAGTGGGGCTTCCCTTTTAAGCTGATAGTTCCACACAATGGGAGCACATATATCGCTACATCCCCTCCCGAAGGTAGAGCAATCTTGGCCAAATTAGGCTTGGCGGATGCCCCATCACCTCAACGCCCACCCTCCACCCCTCGTATCTCTCCCATTTGGCATACCCCTTCCCCACGGAGGGATAGAAGGAGAGTCAGACAAGAACCGGGTTGACAGGCCCATTCTCACTTGCCTAATACTCATTGTCTTGATAGTCTTTGGTCTGGTCTATTGATTTTTATGACTTTACTAAGATTTGGGGACACAGGGATTTTGCTCTCTATTTCTTACATTGTCAGGTTGTATATTTCTGTGGTTGCTGCTGTGATATTTTTTGCAATACTGAATATTT